GGTGGGGGAGGTTGAATATTAGTAATAACAGCGAACACAGCGATAGGAAATATTATATCATTGGAGGCGTTCCCAGCTGCCCAGTCGGCCCCCCAACTTATTCTCTGCACCACAGAGCAAAATGCGGACAGTCTTGTTCTAGCCCCACGATCACTTGGGCGCTGGGCAGTAGTGGTCCACAGTTTTCATTGGCTGTTTTTCAGAAGGTTGTCAGGCCTTTCTTCCTAGTCCGGAAGCTCTGCTTAAAGTAACAACACAAGAGTCTCTCCCGACAGGTGGATGGTGGCCGCCTATGAAGTGCACTGGCCAGGAATCAAACCCAGGCATCCAGCATGGAAGATGAGGATTCTACCGCCAAGCCACTATCGCTCTCCCTGGAACAGAGATAGGCATAGTGTCTGAGGCACTTGACTGCTAACCAGAAGCCTGGTGGTTCAAACCCACCAGCCCCTCCTAGGAGGGAAGGTTGGGCAATCTACTTCCCTAGTGATACGCCTCGGAAACTCAAGGAGGGGTCGCTATGAGTTGAGATGGACTCCACAGCAGTGAGTTTCTGTGAAGATTACAGCTTTGGAAGCCCCATGAAGTAGTTCCACCCTATCCTCTAGGGGCGCTGTGACTCGGTATTCACGCCACCGGTACGTGTTTGTTCCTTGGTTTATACATAAAGTCCCCATAAGTCCCAGCCAACTGACAGCAACAACAGTGACCAGATGAGGGTAGAATGGATGGATGCCGGGAAGCTGCCACTATGGTGCACTGGTCCGTGCGTGCGCTGAGGTTTGACTGGCCTGGTGATAACTCATCTGTGGGTCCTCCCTCTCATCTAGCCCCCCAGAGGCCTTACTGGAAGAAGGCCTGCTGGACCGTCTCCATTTCCCCCCAAATCTGAGCCTCCCACCTTCCCCCAAAAATCAAGACTTCAACGCGAAAACCAAAATAACAGTTTTATTCCAATCGTGACGCGCAACAGACAGTCCCCTGCCCCCAGTGGAGAGCCTCCGCCCCCCCATCGCTCCAAACCCCCAGTCTCCCGCAGAAGGCGAGGGGTCCAGGCTTTAGTTATTGTTAGGCATTGAGTCAGCTCCGACTCCTAGACCCTACGCAGAGCAAAACGAAGCCCCGCCCAGCCCCGCACCATTCTCCCAATCACTGCTTGAGAAACGCCAGAACCACGCCCCCTTGTTGCAGGTTCCCCTTCTCCCATCTTTCCCTCCCGTCTAATGCGTCCCTGTCTTCCCCCCTTCTCCCCTCCCCCACTGGTCTCCACTGCTGCCCCTTCTCTGGTCGTCTCCCCTCCATTTTTGTTCCTCTGATCTCTTTATCTATCCATCCATCACTTGGCTTCTTATTCTAAGCTTCCTCGCTTTTCCCCTTTGCCGCCTCCACTCTGTAGACCGATCAACCCACTCCAGCACCTACTCTGCCCCAACTCTCCCCGCAGCCGGTGCCCTGCCCCAACCTCCAACTTTCTCACCACCCAGCTTTGCCCCTTTCTTCCTCCTGCCCTGGCCCGCCCCTCTGTACACTTCCAATCACACATTCGCTCTCCCGAGGAAAGCCATCCGAACCCACCTTGGCCTCACCCTCCTCTGCAGCCGTGGCTTCAGGACCTCCAGGGCCACGGTCAGCTTCCCCCCGGATCCAGAGAGACAATATGCCAAGGCGGGGTCCCTGGATGCCCCGAGAGACGGGGGTGGGCTCTTGGCCTCAGCCCTGGTATCTTTGGGATCGAAGAACGCCCTCTCACCCTCACCGAGGAGGATGACGGGCAGGAGGCCTGCGGGGTCAGGGCTCCGGGGTTCTCCCCCAGCAGTCCCGGAGCAGGTCCACGTGGAATAAGGCTGCCCCCGTGAGGAGGCGCGCGGCGAACAGGTGGCGGCAGGGCAGACGCCGCGCCGCGTGGATGGAGCAGCTGCAACGCGTCAGCGCCCCGTCCAGGAAGAAGTCCGAGGTGCCGTCCTTGAGGGCAAAGCCAGCTCCCGTCCAGTGGAAACCGCGGGTCCCGTGGCGCCTGGCGAAGGTCAGCTCTTCGGCCACCAGGTCGGCCAGCTCTGGCCCGCAGGCTGCGCGGAACTTGGCCAGGGGCTCCCAGTCCGCCGCCTCCTCGCCGGGCGAGCCTGGTATCTTCTTTGGTTCCCGTGGGCCTTCCCTTTCGCCTCCGCGGGGCAGGCCCTCCCCCAGGTACACCCCTGTTGCCACTGCCCATTCGGGGTTCCCCTCAAACACGGCCCCCACGGGCGTGCTGCACACGACTCCATTCCCCAGCGCCGGACGCCGCCCTCCTGCGTCCCCCCACTCCACCCCCTGTCCTGCTTGGCTCTTGGGGTCCACAGGCCGGGCTTCCCCTTCATCTGGGGCCCTTGTGTCCCCCAGCTGCAGCGGAACCT